TTTCTCTGTTAGCTTTAAAATACACACAGGGAAACCACTTGTACTCCCATGTGTTTTAAGACTACCTACAGTAACACAGTGTCATAAAAGCATATGGGAAGGGAAGTTGTTTGACTCCTTCCAACAGGTGGGCAACATTTAACAAGGTCAAGGGATAAGTGGCCTATGGGCATTAGTTTTGCCAGCCCTGCCACAGGGATCACACAGTTGAATTGCTTTCACCTGCCAAACACTTTGCAATTAGCCATTTATAAATGTCAGGTCATGAAGTCTGAACTGATCTTGAATTCAAAGGGTGAATAAATAAGGCTAGCAACAAATAATCATCTCTCTTTTGCTACCCCTGCTCTATTTCCAAAGTAAGTAGGTGTCTCCCAGACACAAGAGCATAGTGAAAATCTTTTGTTTTCCATTGCCCAGAATAAAACAGCATCATAACGTATCCTGTTGCAGACCACTCAGTCCTCTGGCTGGCAGCTTCCTTCTTACATCAAATGCACAGCATCTACCTAGACTACAGCATGGCTGGATTCACTCCTTTGGGGTTCAAAATGCCCCTTGATACCATTGTCTGCTATGAAACTAACTTCATGCTAAGTGTCTGTGAGCCGGTTGCTCTTGTTGTACACATTTTGACAGTCCCTCAAATGGCCTTCATGGACTGCCAAAGCACCTGCTCCAGTGCAACCTGTCTTTTTGGCAGCAGCAAGCACCAATCTCCTCCTCTGTTCCAGTATTTTTTTTCTAACACCATACATGTCAAAAAAAAATGTAGTCAACTGAAAGGAAGCATGTGGTGCCCAGCTTTATTGGACATTGTGCCTAGACTTTCTGCTGAAGAAATTACATTTGCATTGCTATACAGGCTGACTACATAAACTGTTACTGCCTGGCACCTATGTTTCAGGGCAAAGGTCCAACTAACTCATGAGTGGGCACTATGCCACATGAACAGATGGGTACATGGACTGATAGGCAAGCAACTATGGGCCAGATTCTCAGGTTGTTGCTCACTTTTTGTGCAGGAAACCTTGCACTGACTTCAGGGGAAGTTTGAGTACAAACTGTGTAATGGCAATAGTATTTGGTTGTTTAAAAGTATTCCGTCAGTAAGTGTAGAGAACAGAATTCCTGACAGAAGTTCAAGCGACTCCCAGTGAATGTCTGTCACAAAATTATGCAGCCCCTATATTGTTACGTGTGCCGTGCTACATATGAACATATTGGAATTCATAAGGAGTATCTCACATTTACTGTTAATAAGGAATAAGACATTAAATCTTTTGTTAAAAGAAAAGGAGCTTTAAATGAGTAATTTCACCATTTAAGTAAAGTACTAACTTGCTTAACCTTGTAAGGAGAAAAGGAGGTAAGATATACTTTTTCAGGATCTACTTTCTATTTTACATTTAAAATTATACAATTATATGTATACAAATACCATTTAGTATTTCAAACTCTTCACAAGTGAAGAGTGACACATACTGAATATTTTATTTTGTATTCATAAAAGAACAAAAGAAACAATATTGTGTCACTCTGTAGAAGACCTCCATTTCTCAGCTTCTGATCTTAAAATGTATGTTCACCTAGAGCTCCTTTTAGAGTTAAGGGGAATGTGGGGTGAGCAACCAAAGTAGATGTAGTCCCTACATCTCAATGACACACCAATAGTGTTAACTCTTTTTATAACCGCAGCAATTTGATCTGCTATAAAAATACAGGCCTCTACAAATCCAAATTGTAGAAAAATCCTTAATTTCCCTTGGATTCATTTCTGTATTTCTACCTCTCTCCATGTTATCTTCTCTACTATATCAACAATCCCTTGTATTAACTAACACAAAAAACTGCAAACCAGACCCTGACATTTTTGTTTGTTATGTAATGATGTTCTCTTGCCTTGTGGCTCTCATTAGTAGACATTTTGACAGATACTGACAGATCTGCAAACAAATATTCAACAACATGGGCTCAATCTTGGACTGCTTTCTCAGACAACATTGCTTTTTGATTTCATTAGTTTTGCCTGAATGTAGATTTCAGGATCAGGACCTATATATATATTTTTTTTTTTTCAGTTTTAAAAGATCAATGTATTTTTATGACAACCTTAAAGTTAGTATTACATTTTACTTCTACAGTATAAACAAATTGTTGAAAAAAATACTAAATATGTATAATAAAGTTAATAGAAAAGTTTATTTTCATGGGTGTCAACACAATCATATTCTACAGTGTTTACTAACAAAGAAAAAAAGCAATATCCAGGGGTCTCATTTTATTTTTTCCATCACCTAAGGCCTAATGCTATTTGGTACAAAAAGATTAGGGTATCTGATGATTCCTATTGATTGAAATGTGGTGCTAGGATGCCAGTATCCTCAAGAGCAATTGAATCTTCCTGTATCACTATCCCATTGCTTATTGACCTAATTCACCAACCAACCATTAGCTTTCTCTCACAAATAAATAAGTCTTGCATAAAATAGCACACAAACAAAAAGTATTCTTTCAGTGGCACTGATAATTTATTACATTTAGGTTCAGCCTGAGTCTGCTTTCTCATCTTCACCATCACTTAACTGTAACAATAGGAAAAAGCTTTAACTGTATTTTTAAATCAGTTATGTGCTGAAATACACTTATATAAAGAGTGGGCACAACCCTTACCCAAGCAAAATTCCATTAAGTGGAACTACTTGTCTATGAATCTTTTTATAATGGTTACAGCATTTTCTAACAGGTACCTTGAGTCTAATGAGGGGTACTTTGAGTCTAAAAAAGGTTGAGAACCACTGGTCTACTTTTACCAGAAACTATTGGCTTATATACAGCAGTATTTCAAACTAATAATTAAGACCAAGCCTGCCAAAACTTACACATATGCTTAATTTAAGCATATGAATGGACCTAATGATTTAATAGTCTATTAATGTTTTTAAGCGTTTGTAGAATCTGGGAATACAAGCTCAGTAGCTGTGTGGGAAATGTTCGGCACTGGAATTCACATATGTAATTTTAAGAAAGCAAAGCCATTTTATTTAAAAAAAAAAATTATCTCTATGTACAAAATTGTTTCAGTACAAGGGCCTGATCCTGCATCCTCTGAAGGCAATAGGACCAAAACAGGGCTTCCAAGTTACTAGTCTTCTCTTACTAATATAGTTTTAAACTTTCATGCAGAATTAAAAGTGGTACATCCAAATGTATAACTGTTGACACTATCAAACCAAAATAATTGTAGCCCTATATAACTTTTAAAACAGTATCAGGGTTAATGGATATTGTAGTTCCCCTTTAAGTTGTTTTTTCTCTTGCCATGATCCTGTTTTACCAGTCATTCTGTCCTCTTACTGAAAGTCACCCTGAGCCTTTGTCAGGAAGGGTGGCATATAAATGAAACAAATAAATAAATGTAAGTGTTTAAAGAAAATATCAGTGTAGTGTGGTACTCAAACTAATTATGCATTTGTTTCTGCTCATACAAGGATAACTAATTAAAATAACTAATATGGGCCAGATCCTCCCAGCAGAAATCAAGGTAAGTAACTTCAAAGGAGCTGTAGAACCACAGAGCTTTAAGTAAAATAATTACATTTCCTAAATATTGCTCAGGCATTTCCCACTAGTTGTGACAGGGAGTTTTGCTTGCATAAGGGCAGCACAATTCTATTGATCTTTTTTACTGGTTTTCAAGTGCTGTTCACTTTGTATCTAAGCACAGTCAAACAAATGTTTTAATTAAAAAAATGAAATTCAGTGCTGTTAATTCTACAAAATATAATAAAGCTTAAGTCTGACACTGGCTATAATATTTTCCACTTTCTCATTGTTGTCAAGATACACATGCTGTCTTTGTGGATCTAGTACAAATACTTTTCCTGTATGACACTGCTTAATCTTTCATGTTAATGGAAGTACAAGTATTATAGCAAACGTCTCTAAGTGTTGGATTATAGATAACTCATTCTCTTTGTATTTTTAGTATTCATCTACCTTGATAAGAAGCTAACTAAATGCAGAGTTAAGAAAAACACATTTCTGTTTGTTATATAAACACAAAAATATTTTAGCAGCCTGGCCCCATGCTAACTCACATTTTAGTGGCATGACATTAAACACCTGGATACAGAGTCATATCTAAAACATGTTGCCTTAATTTCCTTTGAGGTTTATCTATTTTTACTTACATTTGCTGAATGTCAACTTATAAAAATTACTCCTTTTTGCTCTTCTATACACATCCCTAGTATTAATCTGACAGACTATGAATGCTCCTTGACAACAATCATCACAGAGCACAATATCCTCTCTATATGCTTCTAAAAGTGAAGCTATGATCTTTACAATAAGGAGGTATAAACAGGTAAAGTAAGACTGGTTTAAAACATTGACAGGTTTTGTTTAAAACACTGGCAAGTCTTACAATTTATCTGACTTCTTTCTAAAAGCACTTGCAAATGAGAATTTTTGTCAGTAGAACTAAAACATACAGAAAGTTAAACATATAGAACAATTTCTCACTGCATTGAAAGTAGGTCTATGATGGAACCCTGCTTGGGAAGCATAAATTATGTAGAGATAGATGTGTCTAAAAATATTTCATAATTGTGGCTGGATCATAACAAAAATGTCAGTATTAAAGTCTACTGTAATTAAATATATCTTGTTTACAAGTATAGAATAAAATATAAAAGTAAGAAAGAAGTCTTTCTTATTGTTCTTTATGAGAATTGCAAGCTATGTTAATTTACTATACAAGACTAAATTTTACATCAATTAAATCAGTATTACTGCTAAAGCAATGAGATTTCTTGTGTTTTTTTCTGTTTGGCATTAAAGGTGCATAGGCCTTATTTATAAATCTACATCATTCTGATCAAACACGCTAGAGGATTATCTTGAACAGAAAAGCCAATACAAAACAGTCTTCATTAAGCCTGCTTTGTTTGTCTGTAAGAAAAAGCAGCAGACAGAGAATGCAATAAATTGTGATTCACTTTATTGACAGGATTTTCAAGTAATGTTGAAACTCACAGAAACAGAGCCACTATTACACAAGTTAATACTGTATATTATAATTGTGCCTCCTAACACAGACAAGTGGATCACACTTTATGTTCATTAATATTTTTAAATAGGATTTAAGTCATGTAGGTATACATGCTCTTTCTGGGTTTTTGCTGAACATACACATTCTTATCCTGGAATCTTGTTTTTAGCCAAATTTGTTTTAAATAGATTTAACATTTTTAGGTAAAATAAGGGAGGAAAAAAATATACCTTTCTGCTTTAAAACACTTTCTGGTATTGTTCCAGTTCAGAAATTACTTTGATTCTTCAAAAGAATGAAATTTTCCAGGCTGCTTCTTCCTCTGAGTATTTACTAAAAAATTAAGTCACAGAGATGTTAAGTTTTAAAAACCAAATAACGCAGATGTGCAGAATATAAACATTTATAAAGATGTTTCATTTTTGTTATCTGAGCATATAGTAGAAAAGGAATTTGACTTTCTTCCTTGACAAGTAAGAATAATATGTGAACAAGTCAAAATTAAGTCAAACAAAAAATTAATAACCTTTTTTTTTCAACCATGCCCACCTAATTCCAGAAACATTACGCAACAGGATTTTAAAAATGGTTTAAGGCATAAAAGCCAAAATAAGAAATGTTAATATGTTACTAGAATCTATATAAGACATGTACTAAGCTGCAATATTATCGGTCACAGGTCACTGAAATAAGCTTGTAATGTTTCTGATGTACTGAACTCAAAAGTTCATGGATCAGAACTATTTGTTGGGAATGAGTAGCTGTGTTTCATTAGAGTGGCCTTTTCTATAGCTATACAATTAACTGAAGTGAAATATAGAAGGATTGTATACTTTTCCACAAAATTCTGGAAGAGCTACAAAAGTATTTTTTTTTGAAAATACATTATCAGAACTGCAAATTTGCCCAACATGAAAATTGCGTATAGAAGCCATATCAAAAAATACAGTCTAGGTTATGGCTTGGATTATGATAATATTTTGCATCCAATACTATACATTTGTACAAGTGGTGTAGCAGAACATTTTCCGGGCCTTTTGTGCACGTGTGTTCTTTTTTGCTTGTCACTATGATATTCATTACTATGACTGTGACTGATGTAGGAAAGTGAACAGTCTTTGTTACAGTTTTTCTTCCAATAGGTACCAAGTTAGCTTTGTGCTGAATGATACCTAGATATCTATCCTTCATTGTTTTTCTATTATTATCTGTACCAAACGTTTTTAAATTAAATACACTGCAGACAAAAAGGACTCATTGCTCAACTACAAGAAAGGTTCTTAGGGCATTCCCATAAACTGTGGATGAAACTCTTGCTGGTATCAGTAACAATTTTGCAAAACATTTATACCAAGGTATTACCATAGGTTATTACATCTTCTAACTTACTGGAGAAGATGACATAGATGAAAAATGCAAACCTGAAGCCTTTGAGAGATACTGATCCAGCTTTTTAGAGTTCATTGAAACTACTCTGAGCATTCTAAATGATTTACCCTTTAATTTTGAACATTATTTCCATGGTTAGTTTTGATTGATGAATTATGTATAGCTGAAAAAACCTAGATTGAATGGGTTGTGGCAATTAGTGTGACTGATTAATTAATGTACAAATGGTAATGTATTTCCTTTGTACTTTGTTTTTTCAATATTGAGGTTAGTACTCTTTTAGAAAAAATAATAGGCTTATAGTATATGTACCTGTTATGTATGAACAGCAAAAAAACATTTTATTGTTTGAAACTGACACTCTGTAAATCATCTTGACATCCTGTTTGCAAAGACAAAAAGTCAAGATAAGTTGGTGAGTTGATTAAAAATGTAATTCTTACAATTAAAAGAAGCAAAAGTTCTTACAATAAATATAGAATATTTTAAAGAATTTCAGGTATTTAATTATGCTTCTAAATAGAAACATCTTATTTATGTTTCAAGATTTTGTAAATGTAGAGATAACTCTAGTGCATATATTTATACAGTAGATGTCTCTACCATTTTGTGTGTATTTCAATACCCTTCTTTAAGTAGGTATCCTTTATTTTATAGGTATGATCTCTTTTCCTCTGTAATTCTATGTTCAGATTTTTGTCCTCTCCTCCATTTTATGTTATCTTCTCTCTCCTCCATTTTATGTTCTCTTTTTCCTATGTGGCTGAAATACAGACTATAAACAGATGTCGGATATGTAAGGCTACAAAGTTACAGATATAATTATTTTCTCTCCCCTACTTTCTATGGTCATTTACTACACCTTCATGACAGAATGCAAAATGAAACTGATCAAAGACCCCTGTCCCCCAGGGCTTCAGAGCTCGTATCTCTAGTGACATTCACTTTGATGCCAATGTATCAAAAAAGAAATATTGCTTAAAATGCTTAGCAGATTTCTAGACGTTCTTGTTTATAATATTAATACATTATCACAGGGCCTGGTATTATGGTACACACAATATTTGGTTTTAAGGGCCTGATCCTGCACTCAACAGGATTTTTTCCATTGATTTCACTAAGTGCATGACTGGGTAAACTCCTGCTTATACAATAGATTGACTAGGCAGCCCATAAGAAACTAGGAGCTAAATGTCATGATTTTCCATTTACTATACCCGTTTTGAAAAATGGCCAATACTGTAGAATTGCTTAGTTTATCTAAATGAATATTAAACAACTGACTTTAGCCCGCATCAGGAAAATATATCTGATAAAGATAATTAGATTTATTAATTCTAATACTAGGATGCCTAATTCTAAAATTCATATTCAGAAAAATGTCAGCAGCTTCAACTACAGAATCAGGGCCCTAGCTCACTGATTATCTATCTATCTATCTATCTATCTATCTATCTATCTATCTGTCTGTCTGTCTCAAGATATGACATTTCAACCCTTTGGTTTTTTTAATATAATCAGCTATTGGTTAATTACCTTGATATCTGTGAATTGTTCTGGTGAAATTAAAGCTGTCATTTCACTGCTGCTTCCCAGCAAGAAGTCCAGTCTGCTGAAAGCTCTCTCATCAACCTGAAAACAGAAAATGATTGTAGCATATGTCAGCAGATGAGCACAATGGCAGATTTAGTGTATTTAGTAATTTTTAAATGTAATTATAGATAATATTAAATCTGATAAGTAGTTCTATGATACTGTTGCAGATAATATCTAGTTTCACTACAATAGGAAGTATTTAGAGAAAAATATTTTTCTCAGTTCTTTAGTTTTGTTACCCTTTGAATTTGGCAGAACTGCTTGCCTAGTCAGTTTAATTGTTTCTCATGTTCTTTTGGTAGGTTAACAGAGCAAAGGGGAAGAAAAAATACTAGGAAATGTGATTTTAAAATCACAAAAAATACAGGAACACTCAAGAGTTCTTGTGTGCTTTTAACTCATTTTTTAAAGTTGACTAGAAGAACAATTACTGACTTCAATGGATATTGTGTCTCAATATGAAGTGTCAAATTATGTATCAAGGGGGTAAGAACATTCAGAAGTGCAAGGCAACAAAATATCATATAAAATTAGTTCCTTAACTTTATTTTGTATTCAATGGGTTGTTACTAATTTTACAACATAAAATTCATATTTCATAAAGATAAGGCCCTTAAAATAAGGACCTTAGATGAGGAACATCCCTGCGATTTGGCTCTGACTAATAAATAAATGCCACAAAAGGAGATCAGTAGTTAAATGCAGAATGTTAACTTTAAGACACCGTTGTAGCTATGACAATGTTTAAATTACAGGGTAATAAAATACAAAGTGGTAAGATAACATTATATCAACTCCTGGTGTCTTATGAATCTGTCAGTTTACTGGGTCATAAGTAAAGAACTACCATTTGTCTAGCAACAACAGTGCTTTGTACAAATGACAACATTGCTGAAAAAGTGATATTATACTTGTAGTTAAAATTTGTTTTCATTCATGTTGATTATAATCCCCTACTTCTATTGCTTATACTTTATAAAAGGATACCATTTTGGTAGCTATATTTCACTTTAGTTCATTAAGCAAAAGACAGCCAGGGGAATGTTTGAAGAAATTACATTTAGCAAGCTTCATGTTACCAGAGAAAAGCTTTTAATATCTATGAAATGTATAGATCTAATTTTTTCACTCTCAAATACCAATTTAATTTAGAAAGCTAAAGTGCTATATGTGCAAAGTGTGCTATCAGAAAGGTATGTTTTGGTAAATTTGAAAAATATTCATAAAGGTATGAATGAGTTGAGTGGGCTCTAGTACCTAATTTTCCTTACTGGTTGAAGGACTAGATAGTTCATGGACTGAAACAAAGTCATTTTGCCCTAAACAGAAGCAGGACTGAGCTCAGTATCTTTAGTAATCCAGAAGTGCTCTGGCCCTGTGCATATACCTTGATATTATAATGGAATGCATTCGTTTATATTTAATAATAAAATGTTCAAAACAAACATTTGTGTCAGTCCATGATCCTTTGGATCTAACTTTGAGGTAAATGTGTGAAATTTCACTGTTTGCCTCTTTGGTTCTTAAAAGTATATCAAGATATGCTAAATTTAAATTAAGATTTTACACACATGAAAATTGACTATACTCATAGTTATGTTCCTACAGAAACATTACACATTTTAGAACATAAAAATATCACCTAATTTAACAGAGAATGTTTAGAAGAGCTGAGTTATATCTATCATAAAACTTGTAATATTAAATGCGTTGACCTTTGTATGTATAAATTCTAAACCATAGCACTGTACTGATATAACTGTTTGTATTTAAATATGTGTATGTAATATGTCACATCAGATATAATACCATCAGATATACATCACATCAGATATATCCCATTACAAATATACACGATGGAAGTGAAGGAAGGCCCCAGCCCCCAATCTCTCACTTAGAAGCTGAGACTAACCATAGCCTGTAAAGCTAAGTATGAATGTAAGTGCTTGCCAGATCAGGGCCTATATCTGTGTTGCCAGATTCAGATTTCCACTGTATTGAGACAGTATCAACTCAAACCATAAAATATGCTTCTTCCATTCCAGCTATTTTTAGGCATTATTATATAAATGGGTAGGTTGTTACAGACACCTCAAATGACCCTCTCACTACAGTGGATCAGTGGAGTTATTCAGAAATGTATTTGCAATTCCTGTAAGGAAGGAGGTTGCACACTATACAAATAACATCATGCAATACGCGGTAACATATGCAGCAGCAAAGAGGAGAAAAACTCATTCCCTTGGCTGCAAAGTTACTGGGAGTTCAAAGTCAGGGAAAAGACAGTTTACAGTGTGCGTGGAATTTCCTTGGCTGTGCCCTCCAAACAAACCAGGGATGGTATTTACAGTATAAATGTGTTAGTAGCTAAATGGTGTCTGATCCATGGCTGCACAGATGATCATTTTTTTGTTTTAGAAAATGGCTTTGTTCCTACCCCGGTAAAGGAGACAAAGACCACTGGAAAGTTGGGGGAAGTAAATAGAGAGGAGGCACTTGTGCGTGGTGCAGGTCTGGGAAGAAAGGGTAGCAGCAGCAGCAGCAGCAGCTCCTCTGGCTCTGGCTCTCTGGGGCTGAGATGTAATAAACAGCGGCGGCGGCGGCGGCGGGATCAGCTGAGCCGCGCCGTCACGTGGGCGCGTGTCGAAGGTCACCGCGCTCACAATGGAGCTGTCGGAGTATGTGCAGAGCGGCTTGCAGCCTCTAGCCGATCCTGGCTGCTTCTCGCCCAGAGCCTACACGGTTCTGCTCCAGACGGCTTTCCAGAGCCTGCTTGACACCCAGGCGGACCAGGCAGCCTTAGGTAAGCGCTGCTTCTCGAGCGAGAGCCAGGAGAAGAAAGGAGCCCTGCCATGTCCTCCCGGGAGCCAGAGAGACAGAGACAGAGACAGGAAAAAGGGATCTATTTTCTTTCCTGCTGCCACATCTTTGTGTTTACAGCTCATGCGGGCGCGGGCAGAGCCCCTAGACCCTTGCACCGCAATGACAGTGTCACCTGCACCAAGCCGTCCTAACACGGACCAAACACGTCCCCGGTTGTGCTCTGCCCTCCGCCCCCGGCTCTCTTGTTTTGCTGCAGAAATAGCCGTGCATTTCTCGCGTGTGGCCTAAAAACGCTGCCAGCCCTGCTTCAGCCGGGAGAGCCCGGCTCTTGGGGCAGCCGTGCTCGCGCTCTCGCTTTTTTTGTGCCGGCTGCTTACTCGAGACAGCCTCGGTGAGGTTCAGCTAAGCACATTTGCAAGCGGGAGAGGTTAAAGTGATCTGGCAAGGGTCAGATTTGTCTGTGGGCGTCGGTCCAGCGTAGTTTTGGCAGCCGCAGTCTTCCTTTCTGCATGATGTCGTCTCTACATGCATTTCCTTCCCTGCTCCGCTTACTCTCGGTACAGTTTCTGCAATAAAAATCAGTTTCGGGGTCAGTCACTGCAGATGCACAGCGGTGGTGTATTGACATTTGACATTCAGCCCCGCGCAGCGGTAGGGCGCAGCGACGGCTTTCTCACAACTTCGCGACTAGCCCAAAGACTTCTTTGCAAACGCAGGACACTTGGGGGGGGGGGGGGACTCAAACTAAAAGTGAAAATGTGCAAAAAGTCTAGCTTCTGGCGGGGAGGGGCTTACCAGCCAGGACACTGCTGTATGGAAATGCAGGCTGCAGACAGCTCTAAAGTTGGTATTTGGAGGCGTGCAATAATGAGCGTGAGTGCGTGTGTGTGTGATTATGTAAAGCTAGCAATTAAAACCAGGACGCCTGCTTTGAACAAAGTGTCTCGGATATTTGTGTCGGTGCTTCTTCTAGGGTCGGGAAAAAGAGGTCGTCTCTCTCTCTCTTTCTGCCTTGGGACGTTTCTTTTTGGGGAATGGTAACAGAACAGGGACTCCATGCGAGTATTTAATAATCCATCATGGTATCCTTGCAATTTAATTCTGCAGCAGATAGTGTAATATCTTGGGGATGAAAAGGGAATTTAAGGGGCAAGAAGCTGTCGTGTTCAGAAAGTCTGTAAGATTTTTACCTTCATGTTCTGTTGAATTTTATGGGCCGGACTCTGACCTCAGTTACACCGGTGTAAATCCGGAGTAATTTACACCGGTTACATCCGCGTTTGATTTTTAATTTAATGTCTCTACTCTTAAGGCTCTAAGAAATGATGGCGGGTGGCTGAAGGAAAACTGGTGTTTTCCTTACCATATTTGTGTTTTCTAGTGGGAAGGAGGAGGGAGACTTCTGTTCCCTATTGCTGAGGCTGGTGGGTCAGCAGCGTTTTTCACCAAGTGAGAAATACCTGCCCGTGGTGCTGCACGTATTGGAGCAACCTGCCTGCGTGCCCCGTTCCCCCTCCCCCTTTCTGAAATGTCTTTTACTTTGAAATCGCTCCAGAAAAGGTCATATAAAAAAGGAAAGATGTCCCTTTTAGTAATGTGCTTTAAGACTTCAGAACAAATATATCACTAGTAATTCATTTGTTTTAGACCACCCAGACTTGAAACAAATTGACCCAACAGTATTAAAACATTGCCATGCAGCAGCTGCAACTTGTATACTGGAGGCTGGAAAACAGAAAGCCGACAAATCTGCTATAAGGTACTAAGACTTCGAAATCACCCTATCTTCCTGGCGGCTGTTACTTTAAATTATACTGCTAGTTTACATCCAAAGGCTAATACGATTTTGTTTTTTCTCTCTGTAGCGCATATCTAGAAGACTGTAAGTTTGACAGAGAGAGAATAGAACAATTTTGCACCGAGTATCAGGTTTTCAGCCTATTTTTAAACTACCTTCTCATACCCTCTTACATTTGTCCGTTCAGCAGGAGCTGGCAAATACATGTTTTCCTTTTTTTTTTCCAGAAAAACAAAGATACGTTGGAAATCATGTTGGGAAGGTAGGTTATTCAGATCAACGAGTCATTTTCAGCTGTAGCCATTTACTTTATATTCCGGGATACTTTGTAAAGAGCTACTTAAATTAGTTAAGTAACGGTAGGGGTTTTTTTAAAGCTTGCGTACCTAAATTTTAATAAAATATTGTTGAAAGGGAAGGAAAATGTCAATACTCTTAAGATTTTTTAAATTTTTTAACAGACTTTTAAAAATGATAATTAAAAGATGCTAGTGTTTGTCGATGGCAAACCTCGAGAACATGGCCTTTCCTTCTAGGCAAGCGTTCACATAATCACCCTATCTTTCAGTATAGGCAGATGTCCTCCGCACATAACCGATGTGTCTTGGCGCCTGGAATATCAGATCAAGGTAATCTTCCCATGTCAGGGTGTGTCTTTGAATTTGTTTCCCTTCTTCTCTGGTAAGGTCTGATTTTTCTTTCTTTCTTTCTTTTTTGGTATGTGTCTTTTTAATTTAGACCAACCAACTTCATAAGACTTATCGACCTGCCTATTTGATGACCTTAAATGTTGAGGTATTGTATACTGCTTTCTCCAGCATCAATTGTCGGTTGCAGGCATTTGACACGATCTAATTAAACACGTGTTGTTTTTTTCCTCAGAAAAGTGGCTCAGGATCACACCCAGACGTTAGTTTTAGTTGCACTATGGAGCAATTGCAGGTATTTCTTTCCGTCACCATCGGCTCTCTAGGTGTTTTCAGCTGTGAATGTAAATTTCTTGCTTTCCTTATCAGGTGTCGATCAAAACCACAGCCTACAATCAGTTATTGGGAAATATCTGGAGTTGTAGTTTAATGTGTTTTTAGAAAAGACATTTTCCCCAATATTTTTGTTTGATCTCTACTTCTGATATGAAACTGGCAGCTAAATAATGTCAGTTACACGGGAATTACTCTTGGTTTGTCTTTAGAAACTGATGGAAACATAGCATAGATGTAATGTGAATGTAAAAGAAAAGGCATCTGCTTTCTACACTTCCTATATTTTCCTTAGGACAGAAGATCAAGGAAAATGACATGTGGATACCCCAGTATTAAGGAATAGGAATTCTAAATAGTTACTTACACTTAAGTCCTACTACCTAGAAAAACAAGTTGAACTTTGCTTAGTGAAATAAATACATAACTCAACAATGGGAGTATTGTTAATCTGGAAAATAATAGAAACTCCGTGAAAGACTTGGGAGGGGGGCGGGCAGGGGAGGAGAAGGGAGTGCCAAGTTATTCAAACTACACACTTGGTAGCAAAGAAAAAAAATCAACACGTGTTCTAAAATTCCTGTTCTGCCTTCAAATCTGTATTTTGATTAGGGATTTTTGGTTGGTTGGTTGGTTGGTTGGGTTTTTTTTCAGTGAATTAAATTTGGCATGTTGTCTGACTGGAGAATTGGCCTGGCATAGCATTTTATTTAACTGAAAAGACAAAATTGGTGTCTGATTATTGTGGCAAGTACCGTAGTACATTTTTACATGAACTTTGGGTACCCTCCTGATATGAACTTCATGTTAACTTAGCTCTTCTACTAAAATAATGGCGATGTAAAAGGTTATTTCCTTTCAGTATGTAAAACTTTAATAATTGAATACAGCAATAAAACAAGTTATTTCAACTGACATTTTGACTTGCATCAAAGGTAGTCATCCTCATGTTAAGGACAATGCGATCTCCATGTCAGTTTGAAGATGCAGACGAGAATCCCCACTTGTTGTTAGTTTCTTTTAGCAGGTGACTTGTTGCAAAATATTTTTGTTCTAAAATGAGTGCTCCATTTTTTATTTTTTTTTAGGATTTAGTTGGAAAACTAAAAGACGCTGCAAAAAGTCTAGAAAGAGCAACTCAGATGTGACCAAAAGAAGTTGACTGCTGAATTCAAGAAGAAGAAACTTGCTCTTATTCTTAACCGTCTTTCCTTGGGAACTTACTGAACCCCTCTCCTCTTTATCTTGAATAGCACGTAGCCCTGTAAAACCTTAGTCCGTATTACGTAAGTGTCAGCTATTGGATCAAAGTTAAGTGTCATTAATTGTTGTGCGGGTTTTTGTTAATGGCCTTTTCTTATGAAAACTATTGTCATTGATGTGTCCTCGAACTATTCCCTCATTTCATGTATTTTTAAAATTTGATTGCTGGTATTTTTTTCCCACTAGTTCTAATAAGAGGGATTTTTTTCTCGTGATGGCTGAAGTTAGCTATGGAAGGAAACACAGCTGCTCTGCGAACAGCTTTTTTGGGGGGTGGGGGTGGGGAACGAAGTGTTTAACTTTAGAGGAGTGAAAATCCCGGCTCGAGGGAATAGTGTTACTGTGCCGGGTGCCCTGCCATAGGGCGGCGGTCCGGCTTGTGCCTCACCATTTCACTTAAACTGAAATTAAAAGCTACTTAAACTTTGCAATAGACTATTCATCTTTTACCCGGACTTACTCGTCCAAAGCCCCAAAAGAAGCACCGCTGGAGCGCTGTAGACGAGGGGCCAGTGCCTGCTCCGGCCCCGGCTCCGACCCAGGCAGCCTCCGGCACCGCTGTCACGGGCGAGGTCTCCCCAGTTTTCTTGCACCTCCCCCCAGCTCTGCTCTGCTCTCCTCGACTGGAGGGTGTTGTCCTCGGGGGCGAGCTGTCAGCGGCCCGGAGCCGGCACCTGTGCCAGGAGGGCAGGTCCTGCGGGGCTGGGAAGCCGGGCCCGCCGGGCCCCCTGCAGGACGGCTTCTCCCGACAACGGACTCGCGCCCCGAGGCGGAGGGGTCGTCTGTGCCCAGCCCCGCGCCCGCCCGGTCCCGGAGGGTCACCTTGCTGGGCTTGCCGGGCAACTAAGGACGCCCACCAGCACCACCCCCGCCGCTGCCTCCTGCTTCCAAGCGGCCCCGCTCGCGGGGGGCGCCGCTG